AACTGCTGCTCTACAGCCAAACTCACAGGGATGTGTAGGAGTATTAAACATGAGACTGGAACAGTGGTAATGGAAATTAAAAAATAAGGATTAGGTCAAGATTATTCTTGAAGAAAGTTACAAGGAGTATCTCTGACGGTGTTTGAGAATAATCAGCTGTACAACCTGCTGTAAACCCACGTTAGAAAGTCACTGTCTGCAAGCTGAAGTGAGTTACATTAATACTTCACCAGTAAATCATATCCTATAATAAAATATTGTGCCGTTCAGTACAAGGCTCACAGTTCAGTACAGTAGTATGCTAAATGAATCAACTCACACAACTCGAAGAATACAGCGCTGGGGAAATTGCTATAGGCATGGATGGATTATTGAACATTCTTAGCGGGCACAGGCCCATGGGCCTAAGCTGTCAGGGGGAGCCATGGTCTTCACTTGCAAAATGTCACTCAAATTAACAAGGGCTTACCAAGGAGAGATGCAAAATGATTGCAAAGAGACTCAAAATGAGCACAAAGAGATGCAAAGGAACTGCAAAGAGACATGAGTATGAGTAAACATGACTAAAGTATGTCAGTAAGACACATATATATACCTCTAAGAAACCTAAATGTCTACAGAGAGACACAAAATAACCACAAAGAGATCAATGTATTCTCATACAGTTTGCATGATATCCTACAAATTAGCACCCCACAAATGAGGTCATGTTCATAACATACAGTTATGTTATCAATGTAATTACAGACAATACATTCTCACTCCAACCTCTCCACATACTAACATTTGGTCATGGACCACATACAACATGAAAGGTACCCTGGGTGTGTTGGTTGTTGATGTTCTGGGACACCGTGTCAAGTTCTGCCTGTTACATGCATTGTCTTCTTTCAAAATACACTTCCATTTTCACAGGAAATTTACTGTTAACATACAGTCTCTTTCAAAATAAATGCACTCCGTTAGTACAACAATGTGACACCCACCCTACTCTGACTTTTGCACCTTAATTTTCATTCTTGTCCTGCCGCATTTCCCCCTGCCATTAAACTAGAACGGTGACTACCCGCGTATGCCGATGTTAAAGGACGGCTTTTTTCGTCAGTGTCTGACACCGTAAGTCACTGCCCAAGCGCCGGATTTTGACGACTTCAGAGTAAGAGCAAGTTGTTATGGAGGTTAGGTTTAGACAAGTAAAGTCACTGAGGTTAGGTTGAAAGAAACATGACCGCTCGGGACTGCTTCCTTGTTTACTCCCGTCAGCAATTCATGTAATTGCAGCCTTTCAAAATATGTGGGATATGTATGAATTTAGGTGCATTGATTTTTGTAGGAAGCATAAGAACAGTTTGTGAGAACAGCATGAGGAGACACAAATCCACAAAAAGATATAAAACATCTACAAAGAGACATAAACCCCCCACAAAGTCTGTGTGTCTTGATCCTATCTAGGAGGGGTGGAAGGGGCCCTTTGTATATCTCTGCCCAGGAACCTGTTGTCTCATATTCCGTCCATGGCAATGGGATGATTTTGTTTTTGTCTTGTATTAAAGGCTACTGGAAAATTACTAAAAGGGATCTGTCAAGTGTTTTCTTTAGAAATTTCAGATATTTGTTATGTTTGGTGATCTAAAAAAAGAAATGTAAGGCACATTATACTTATTTGTTCTGTACAAATCATATTGAATCATTAAAATACTATTTGATTTTAGTTGAAAGTGTGGATTTAATTCATCTTAACGTCTGTTATTTCTCAGATATTTTCCAAAACATCACACAGTTTTCTATCAAGGGGCTGAAGCTTAAAGGAATAGTCAGACATTTAAAAATGTGATTTTTGCTGAGCGTTACATGAGAGGATTAATGACACTCTCATATCGGCACCGTAAATATGTGACTGAAGCCAGCAGCAGGTTAGCATAGCTTAGCATGAAGAAAAGCTACTAGTCAGACTTTGTTAAAATGCCTGTGACACCCCTCTGGCTCCAAGCACCTCAGAATCCTTGTTTGTCTCCTCAGGTCTCCAAGGTCAAAGAAAATCATGATGGCGTCTCGAGCATGTGTTTAAGACAGCGACGGCATGCTTATTTGCAGCCACCTTGTCCTTTGAAGCCTTTAAAACCCACCCATTCTACCTGAGCACCCGGTAATTGGTGTGCAGAGCACACGGCGCAGATCTCAGGAGCAGCTAGTGCACTTAGCATGACACCCCAGCACTGCACAGGCTTTTCTCAGACCACCTGAGAGCATTACTACATTAAGATTCCACCTGAGTTTGAGAACAGGCAGCAGTCAATGTCTTTTTTGCAAAGCCCTCTGCAGGACGGCACATCTTGAATTCTGCAATAGTCTTTCTGCTCCCCTCACCCTGGAGATACGGTTGGATAGCACAGTATAATCCCTTGCTAACAAGCAGTTCCCCTCTGTATGCTGAAGAGGCTGAGGCAGAAGCCTGTGGGTTGGGATTGAAGAGGCTGCTCGGGACACTTTGATGTAATCATTTGTGTCAGTATTACAGTGGAAATGTGTTTGGGGACTTGTTCTGACATTTGGCTTTAATAACAGGACAAATCATGGCCTCGAGTATCAGACACATGGGCTGGCAAGGCCGTTCTGAGGGGCCATCTGTTACAGCATGAGAGCAAAATAATGTCTTAATTACATGCCCCTTTGATCTGGATGAAGTCTAGATGTGATTTAGGAGGATTAAATTTACACATGATGTCCTGTGTGTCAAAAAATCATGATTCTCTGAATAAATCTTGAGCTGTGATTTGATGATGCATTACTTTAATATTTTAACACCTCTGGTTTTACTATTGAAGTTGCCAAATGTGTGTTTTGTTGGGTTTTTTTTGCCACATTTTACCACGATGCACGCTGGGGTATAATGAGGATTTTAGAAATACTGATGATGGCTCCCTAAATGATTCGACTAACAAACCAAAATAGGCAGATTATTTCAAATTCTGTCAACATTTTTTTGTATTTTATTTCCATAGAGGATGGTATCAGTGTTAGTCGGGAATATACATTACATCTACTGCAGAAATGCCACATTCCTTTTATCTATCAGTCTGGTCTCACTCCCAGGGTAGATGGCTTTCCAACAACTCCAATGTAAACCCGCCCGTGTCATTATTAGAGACTCAGAGCAACAGACAGGAGTGTGAGTGCCCACTCAGGCTGTGCATAAGGGAAGGTGGATGGGTTAAAACAAACACTGGCTTTGACCCAGGAGACCTGTATTTAACACCAATGGACAACAACATTGATTGCGGGGTTTGTGCCACTCGTCTTTCAAGCAACATATTGCCATCCAGTTGCATTTGTGCTGCTCAAAGCTAGGTGTTCTTTTGGTGACATCCATTTTTAACCAGATCCGCAGTCTTTCCAAGCTAAGTTTTGTTGCCTGATCCCTCACCACTGGATCCTTTTTACCAACGACCCCTTCTGCGTCAAAATACAACACAAAGGACTGCCCCTGGCGCCATTTTAGTAATACTTGGAGCTTCTGCCCAAGCAGCAAAATATGACAAAACTAGTGCTGAAATTATAAAGAACATTAATTGGCAATGATTCTGATAATCAGTATCTTACTATATAATGATGAAAACTCTGTCTGTGTCTGTGTCTGTGTGTCTGTTCCACGTTTTTCTCCTCACTGACTTGGTCAATCCATGTGAAATTTGGCACAGTGGTAGAGGGTCATGGGAGGATGCGAATGAAGCAATATTACATCAGTTGGCCTAAGGGGCGCGCTATAGCAACCAATTGAAATTGCAAACTTTGAATGAGCATATCTCATGCCCCGTATGTCGTAGAGACATGAAACTTTGCACAGAGATGCCTCTCCTCATGAGGAACAAATTTACCTCAAGAACTTTGTAGGCATATGACCACATATAATCTGAGGGGACCTCTCCATTATTGACCCGATCAAACAAAATGGGGGAGCTACAGAGCTAATTTCTTATCTAGGCCGAACTGCCATATCGATTTTTACTAAACTAGATAGATGTGTAGAACAGGACGCTTCAAGGTGACTGGAGAAATGTAACTCTAATTGGCAACTGGGTGGCGCTATAACAACAGAAACATGCTTACAAGTAGCTCAGTCCATAGGGACTTGGGTTGGGAACCGGAGGGTCGTCTGTTCGAGTCCGGACCAAATATGGAGCGTGGACTGGTGGCTGGAGAGGTGCCAGTTCACCTCCTGGGCACTGCCGAGGTGCCCTTGAGCAAGGCACCGAACCCCCCAGCTGCTCGGGGCGCCTGACCAAGGCAGCCCCCTCACTCTGACATCTCTCCACTTTGTGCATGTATAGGTCCTGTTTGTGCATGTGTGTGTCTTTTGGACCTGTGTGTTAATGACAACAGAGTGAAAAAATTGAATTTCCCTTCAGGGGGATTAATAAAGTATATAAAATTTTAAAAAAAAATTAAATTAAATTAAATTAAAAATGAAATTAAATGGCTAAAATGCGACCGATCACTGTGGCTCCCCCTGTGGCCAAATGTTGTTTTTTTTCTAATTTTTGGTATGACTAAGTCATGGTACGGTATGCTGTACATAATCACGGAAACTGTCAGTGTGTCATTCTGTCAGTCAGTCATTCTGTCTGTCCCACGTTTTTCTACTCACTGACGTGGTCAATCTATGTGAAACTGCACATAGGCATTGAGGATTGGCATAGGTAGAAGGTGACAAAGCTACCAATGGGTATGGACTAGTAATTGTTTATTGATCAAAAGATGGCAAACATCCATTTGTTTCTGCTTGTCTTATGTGGTAAGTTGTTACTTTCCTCTGTTAAATATTATTGTAGACCGAATATCTTTGGGTTTTTGACTATTTCAAAACAAGAAGCCTGAAGACCTTACTTTATAGGCTTTTGCAATTTTCTGACATTTAATAGACAATACAATATAGAAAATATACATAAACAGCCAATATATTAACTTATTATAAACAGCAGTTGTTGTAGCCCTAAACAAAACAATAGACCCAAAATCCATGTTCAGTATGGCAGTATTTATTTCACCTCACAGCATTACCTCATATGGTTTGAATGCCACAGAATTTACTTCATTGTTCAGTAGGAAGGCTGCCTACCTGCAATATGTTATAAGATAGATCAAGGAGATCATGACATTGAATGCATCACTTAAAAATATAATAAAGTCTGGTTTCCCTTCATTAATTTGTGTAGAATCTATTGCCAAATGAGATATCACAATAGTGACTGAGCCAGCCACTGATTAAAGCAATATTTACATATATGTAATATTATGAGGGTATTGAGGGCAACATTCACGTCATGACTGCAAAACCGTTTGAAATATTGCAGAAGGAGCAGCCACAGTGAGCTATGTGATGAAGAACCAACTCCTTTCACTGTGCCCCGCTATCTGCAGAGACATGTTTTTTGCCACATAAAATCACATCATGGTTGCTCATTGAATGATGGAGAAAGGTCAAATATTGCCTGCTGTCTTTATTAATATGATGACAGTTTGTTTTGCTCCTTCCAGAACTCTGTGGCCTGGAGAACTGAACCACATATGCTGCTACCACCAGTAACTGCAGGGCAAATCAGCCAGGACTGAAATCTTAAAGACTGCCACTTTATACTCAGTACTCACAGTAATATGTGTAACACAATCAAATGTACATTTGTAATAACACACTTAGGCCTCCATAGTCAGTATGTGGAACGTTTGATACTCAGTTTCTGTACCCCTACGCTCACCATTGGGGGTACCCCACCTATAAAGGGGTGTCTCCCGCCTTCCCTCTCCCCTTCTGTTGTTGTACTCCATGGTAGAGGTAAGCGATATTGCTCTCATAATAATTTCTGTGTTCTGGCACTGTTAAGCTGTTTATAAGTTCATTTTTCAGCCTAACCTTATTGTATAATATGCTAACATATTCCTGTGTAACTTCATTTGTGTAGGGGCTTGAGTTTAAATAGTCGTAATTTTGTTTTTACCCTTTTGCTGTTGCACTCCATGGGGGGAATAAACAGAGATTGCCTCCAATGATGTCCACAGTCTGGGCCTCTTCATATCAACACAACACAGACACCACTAGAATATACATATTGTGTTTGTTTGTCAGTAAGCAATAACTGTATGGCTTGTTTGTTTGTATTGTTTATTGTTAAAACCATTGTTGTATGTTTTACTTACATCTTTGAATTTATTGCAGTATACAGTATGAATAGGCTGTATGTTACAACTAAACACGGGGTGTCTGCTATTGCAAAACTGTAACTGTCACATTTATCTTCTCTCTGTTGCCTGTATTGTGATTATTGTATTGTTGAAAAGGGTATAAGAGTGTTTAAAACGTTAAACACAGTGCCTCTAAAAATATCACAATGAGCTTTGAAAAAAACACTACATTTAATTTGTGTTTTATTGTGAAGTGTAAACTCCTCCTCAGGTCATTAAAACTCCCACATTCCCAAATAATGAGGACACGACCCAAGTGTCCTCAGTGAATCTGTGTTTAGTTTATGAAAATGAATCAGTCATACTGCTGTTATTGCAGCGGTGTTCTGCCTCATTGTCTGTCTCCTCTCTAACAGCTCAAGTGTTGTCAAAGCAGCTCTACACTGAGTAAAAAAACACTTGAGCCAACCTCCATGGCTTTGATTCCAGTATGAAATTCATCCTATTATAGTTACACTTCCAAAACATTGTTGGGGCTTTGTGCTGCTATTATGCAATGATCCCATTCTGCCAAGCTGCTTAGACAGCGGGCTAACAGCCACAACAGTAGCCTGCTCTGTCCTACTGTTGTCTCATGCATTCATATTGTCCAGAGAGGGAATCTGAGCCCTGGAAACCGTCCACACAAATATTCCACACGTCTGAGGATCGTCAGTGGAGTGAATCTCAGGATCCAGCTGGAACCGGAGTGTATGAGCTGTTCATGTTGGTGTTGACAGCATCTGGTTTCCAGTCTGGCTGGTGAAAGTGGATGTTGAGGGTTCGAGCCCAGTTTGCAAACACTGCCTTCTCCGTGATGAAGCGGTGGTGGCTTCCTCGCCGACTCCTCTCGTGGGAGAGATACATGGAGCACTCGTCGGGCCCCGCGGGCTCATAGTAATGATACGGCAAAGAGGGATGAGAGGAGGATCTACACGGGAGAGCCAAGGAGAGGAGAAGAGAGGGGAGTAAAGCATGAAAAGGCATGAAAGTCAAAAGTGTAAGGGAGGGATGTGGAAAATAGCGTGGGGATGATTATGAGATGAGGGTGGGGGAGAGGATGCGAGTCACAGTGGGGGAAGAAATGGAGAGAGGAACAAAGAAAAACAGAGAGATCAGAAGAATCTGAGCTCACAGATGTGTTCATTATTCACCATCTTATTCCTCTGATATTCACGGTCACGCCAAGCTCAGGGGAAGACAGCTACATGAGAGTCACTTCAATCTGGCTTGCATTTTGCTATGAATATCCAAATATGTCAAACTGTCCTCTCTGCCCTTGTAGATTCATGCGAGAACAATATTAACAAAATTATTCTTCTATTTCCAGTGAACTTCATAAACAGCTTTACTTTCCTTTTGGAAACTACTCAGTGAAATGTGTTATTATTATTATGGTAAAATGTCAAGATGAACATATCCTCTGGTGTTGAACTCATTCACCAGCCTGACAGCCTGGCAATAAAAGGCTACTGAAGTCGCCACTGCAGGGAGTAAATGTTATATTGTCATTACAAGTTGAAAACATCATTAAAGATGTACTAGACAAGATTTTTATGTCGAAACACACCCATGGTGTCAGCACACGGCAAATTACAGAGTGGAGCTGCAACAGAAAAGAGCAGCCCATCCGCCTTATGCACGATTTGCCCCACTTGCTCAAACAGGAAGTGACAAACTGAACAGTCCTAAGGATAAGGAATTTCAATGGTGACTTGAAGGTATAATTTAACAGATGAATCAGGGTGTTGCAGAGTGTTAAAGTTAAAGTGCAGACAGTGTGCATGAATTTACTTGTGACTTTGGTGTCTTTCAAATAAATTAGTCAGAAATCTGTTCTAGTATTAATTGGTAATTAACAGCAGCGACAATGTTGTGATGGCTATATGGTTTCACCAGGTGTTTATATGTTTGCAGACAGATTTTCTCACCATGTTAGTGTTATACCATCACACTTTACGTCCCTGGCTCAAATTCATTTTAAGTTGCAGGTCACTGTATCATCGTTGGAGTGATCCCAGCACATGGTCCAGTGGGTCCTGGTCCAAAAGTGGGTCCCAGGTCCATTCTGAATAGACCACAAGTGACCCCTGAATGTGTCAAGTTTGTAAAAACATACTTTATTTTAGAGTACAGTGAATTCCCAGCACAGAGCTTTTACTTTGAAGTGCTGTTTCCTGCTGTAGAGTGAGTGACTAACAAACAGCTACATGGCAGAGACAGCAACCTAGCTCACTGACATGGCCAAACGCAAGTGTGACACTGAATATGTTGAACTGTGTGGACCTTGAACTAATGACTAAGGAGAAATGTGGACCCCGTGGCTGGACCAGTTGGGAACCACTGCTCTAGTTATTATTGACTATTTTTTGGTCGGCTGTTCGGTGGCGTGTTCCTGATGTCCCAATTTCTTTCCCTATGTGAGTCAATACAATGGTATTTGATATAAATATTCATTCATTCACTCATCCTATTCAGGGTCGCGTGTGCAGAGGGGGTGGGGGGGATTGCTGGAGCTTATCCAAGCTGATACTGGGCAAGAGGCAGGGGAGTGAGGGGCAAGGTACACCCTGGACAGGTCACCAGACTATCACAGAGCTGACCCATAGAGACAAACAACCATTCACGCTCACATTCACACCTACAGGCAATCTAAAGTCACTAATTAACCTAAACTGCATGTATTTGGACTGTGGGAAGAAATCCTACACTGCAACATGGAGAACATGCAAACTCCACACAGAAGGGTGCCTGACAGGTTCAAACCAGGAACCCTCTTGCTGTGAGGTGACAGTGCTAACCACTGCCCTAAACTAAATATGTAAAATTAAATGAATGAAATGTAGTTATGTAGTGATCTAATTGTTATGTGATGCCTTCAAACAAAACTTGTGAGGTATTTTTGACCTGAAAAGTCAAGGACAGAGTATTCTTGGCGCTAGGTGGTCATGTGAACACTGTTGCTAGGAAACTGACAATAAAAAGGGACATTGCTTTGTTTCTTTTTTCAAGTATTGTTAATGATTTTGTGTTTTCTGTGTTTCAATGTCAACACAACTGATAAGGAAATAATAAGGAGAAGCTTTCAGACAGGCATCACAACTCAGAGTTTTTACTTATTCTCACTGAGGGACACTAGGCTCTTTTTAGAAACACACTACTAAATACCTGAAGGCAGCAATAAGACAACACAAAATGACTGCTAAACAGCAGTGATGAGTAACCTGTTTATAGTACTGTATGATAATGGCTGGATGTACTCGATGATGTGATTGTAGTATGTCTTATATGTTAATATTATATGTCTTCTTATGCATTTCAGTATGTTTTTTAATTGTAGGTTCTATTTTTCACCTTTAATCATAAAGTTAAAACTACAATAATTAATTACCAATTAATCGAATAGTTTCTCCTGGGTTTTGGGAGCTTTGTAGCATCTTTCTGCTCTTTGTTTTGGTTTTATGTCCTAAACTTTACTGTTCTGGTTCAGTCTCACAGCTCTCATCAGCACTGTTTTCAGACACAGTCGGCAGCTTTGAATCAGGGCGTCTACAAGAAGTCCCAAAATGTCTTAAATCCAATGTTACCACAATAAGGCCTTAAAGGTCATAAAATAGTCTTCAGTTCTAATTTGTGAGGTCTTAACTACTGCATACATTTTTATCTAATTTCATTTATCCATTTTTCAATTTCGTTTTGTGAAAATGAGTGACGGTTTTCTACTTAAAAGTCTATATTTCTAATGTTACAAATCTTTCAAAATCATCAATCTATCATTTTACTTCATACTTGCACTCACCTGTTGGCAAAATGTAGATTGACTTAACTCACTCTAATAACCATATTCCTACATAACACTTACCCCTGCACAAGACCACATATACTACATACTATATACTACTTGCCTGCAATGCTTACCTGCAATGCTTAAAGAAGTAAAACATGATTTTTTCAAAAACTATCCCAAATTTGGTTTAAAGGTGTCTTGAACTGGTCTTAAAAAGCATCATATTTAACTGTCTGATACCTGCAGATACCCTGTGAATGAATCCACCCTACCTGCCCAGCATGTAATGGCAACAGACAAAGTGAGCGACTAGCTGGTGAACATTTAGCAGCTAAAGAGACAGAAATTTCCCTTAGGAATTTGTGGAGACCAAAGGCAGATCAAAAAAGAGGGAATATTTGGCATTCACCGGGTCGCCACACTCCAATTGAATGTTAATTCTGCTCCATATACACTGGATGAGTAATAAGGCTGCTACATTTACCAATAGCATCACAGTGTTGGTATTTATAGCTTTACTGATAGTGCGCAAAGTTGAATTAAAATTGCTCAGCATCTAAATTCTTAGATTTAAAAAATGATCTGAATGTACCTGCAGAAATCAGGAGGCACCATGCCATACACTTTGATCCTGTCACACAGCTCCAGGGCTATGGCCATGGTGAACCAGCCGGTACTCAGCCAGGAGTTGGAACTCTTCCTGGAAGATGAGAGAAGATCAACATTTTTAGTAGACCCACACTCATATATTGTAAATACATACTGGGAGCACTGGCTCCTTCTGAGAGACTAACTGATCAAACAAGGCAAGATTAAAGCTGTGAAGCCATAATTCTAGATTTTATCTGATCAGTCATCTCTTCAGAGATGAACCAAATGAAGCAAAAAGACGGATTGAAGAAAGACTTTCTTTGTTTATGCCTCATACACAACAATAAAGGAAATATCAGTGAGCAAGACATTTATTCTGACAATGCCTGCATGAAGCCTGAATTGATTGGATTCTCCATTCAAACACAACATCCTCTTATCTTCCTGTTGGCTTACTGTTCACATGCAAATTAGTTTATGAATAGCTGGAGAGATGTTGACAAAAAGTCTTTATCTGGTTAGCTCTTATTTTGTAATCTTACAATAAGTCAGCCATTTAAGTAGAGGAACCTGCACCACATATGAGGAGAGATGTGTGACTATCATGTGTTAAAGGCACGAAACTTGCATCTGTTTCATTCTCGCTATAAAAAGAAATACATTTGCCTGGTGTTTAGGGTGGTCTCAGTATATCAAAGCCGTGTTTGGTGTGCCAATTCCCTTTCATTCATGTTGATGAAATTAGTTCTATTTGATCCAAATGAAGCTGTACAGCTGCCTCTGAAAATCTAAAAATGCAAAACCTGCTGGTTGCCTGAGTCTCCTCTCTCAGTTAAGATGTAGGAGAGCAGTCTCTGTGTGTGACCAAACACTTACCTACACGTGTTTCTGCAAGACCACAGAGATTTCTATACAGTTATTGTATTTAGACAATAGTTGCTTCTTCTAACTAAAGCTTGGGTGGGCAGAAATCTGAATCTCTCCCCTCTCTATCCTAAGCCCCTCCCACCAGACGACCACATGCATATGCACGCTCTTCATACAGTAACCCGGTGTTTCCCATACATTGATTCATTTAGTCTTACTCCATTGTACAGTTGCATTCAACACATTTACATTTACCCAAAGACACCTCCGCCCTGTTCACCGCCACTGTGAACTACTTCCCTGAGAGGAGAATGGGCAGCAGCTCGGGACATCGACCTTCAATCAACAGCTGTAGCGGCTGGATTTTGGTCAGCGCAAACCCGCCAGCACTGGGTGTCACAGCGGGCTGGTGGCCAGCAGCAGCACCAAGTCTAACTTATGAATTAGCATCCACAGTAAGATGCTGATCTGGTGGGGAGTCGGGCTTGTCTGGTCCCCCAGAGCTGAGGCCTGTGCTGATGGATTCGGATGTCCACGGCCACTGACTGGAGATCAGCTCTTCTGCCAGCGAGGTGGTATGTAGCGGCAGGGAGTGAGGCGGAGGACACAATCTGATTCGAGGCACTAGCGTATGTTAAACGTGAACTTGAAGCTGCGGCTATGAGCCTTTGGCGCCAATTAGCAGAAGGCTAAACTGTCAGCAAAATTTTTCTCTATCTCTAAAACGCCTCACCAATATCGACACACCTTTTATCACATATACTGTCAGACTCTCTTTTCAACTCCCTTTTTGATTAGACCGTCTTCCTTTTTTGGGCTGCTTTGCAATGGTGGCAGTTGTTGCCACTGCTGATATAGCAACTTTCTTAGCGGGATTGTCCACCATTGGATCAGGCTTCCACCAAAGGGACATGCATGTGCATCTGCATTCGTAGAACAACCAATAGCAAATAACCTATGATTAGCTAAAGTCTCTCATCACAGACTAGTCTAGTTTTCTCTCAGGCCACTTAAATTACAATATGCTCAAAGTTCATTCAGGGATTTTTGCCCACTGCCACAAAAAAATAACCTTCCCCAGCTTTAAAATAAATAAATAAATAAATAAATAAATAAATAAAGCATATTTGTGAGAGGCTGTGTACAAAGCAACATTCTGTCAAAGCAGAGCAGCAGCATGAGGGCATGTTAGGACTCGACATCTAGCCACTCTGCGTTATCCTTCGATGTGACACATTTGTCATATAATTGTTATTTATCTGTGTTTTATCTGTCGGATTTGAGGTTTTTCATTTGTCACTTTCAGCTAAAAATGTGTCTGTTCTCACTCCAAGATACTGATTCATGCTTACTCACCACCATCCTTTTTATTTTTTTTGCCTGTAATGACAGATGTCTCTATGAATGTCTTCCTACATGGTAGGGCTACATAAGAAAATGCTTTGGACTACTCTCCCTAAGCCACGCATTAGTGGATCAACTGTGAACTTGGCATTAATCAAATCCCTTAAAATCCTGTCAGAGATAACAAACAAGATTTATTCTAAATCCTATTAATAATGCTGTGAATGTTTAGAGCTCTGGCTTATTTCGTTGTGAGCAAGTATTCCAAAATATGTGAGGCTTTCCAGAAGTCTGTGTAGTGCACTCTTCCATCACTGCAAATTTCATTTCATGTGGCTATAACTCATAAGTTGAAGACAATTTTTTGTGTGTTTTCCCTCTCCTGTCACACACACACACACACACACAAACAGATATGCTGTTTGTCTCAGTAAGGTCACCAAAGGTCTTGAAAACAAACCTCTCAAACACAGGTCTGATTCTCTGGACATTTACCTGTCAATCCCCGTTTCCTTTTTAAACAGCTCATCAAACTTGAGCATTTTGATCCGAGAAATAATGTAGACTTTAAGTTTGGGCAGAAGTTGGTTTAACAGCCTGAGGTTGTTGTAAACGTGGCCCTTTCCATCCCGTCTCATGCAGCTGCTGGGTCCCCAGAAGATGAACACTGTGTCTTGGCTCGCATTGAGCAGCTCCTGCCGGCTTCGCAGCACCCTCTGCAGGCTGGAGTGAGCTATGACACGCAAGCTTGTGCGTCGCCCGACATCTCGCTGATATCTGATGCTGGGAGCATCGTTCATACGGATTACGCACTCAGAGCGGTCGATTTCTTCACCTCTCTTGCTCCCAGTTAGCTGGCCAGAGCTGGTCACCAGGGCACAAGTCTTGCAGTGCATCTTCAGAGGCTGTGGAGGTGAAAGGTCAGAAATTATTGTAGTTTTTATTCATGAAATAGTTGTTTTAATCCAGAGTATAGTCTTCTTAAGACATTGTATTTTCTCTACAGAATCAGTTCTGTTATTCTGTTTCTTTAAAACATTACAGTATATGACCTATTCTCAGAGGCAACAAAAAGTTGAGACTAAGGGCTCATTTATCCTCAACGTTAGATACGTACAAGAACACGGACAGATGCCTCTATCTGTACTTTGCATTCATGTCATCTGTATTCATCTAGTTTTCCAAAATGCTTGCGTACATACAGAAAAACTAAGCAGTACCAAGGGAAATTGTGTGTACATCATTTTAGTTAAGTGTGTTGGCATTTACCAATTAGCGCTAGGCACAAAGTAACGTCGATGCTCATGGGAATATCCTTAATCTTAGTATTGAGCAGATTTAAATGTTGGCCTGCTAACTGCACTAAAGTGAAAGTTAAGGGGTCACTAAAGTTATAATTCACCCTGAGGGGAGCATGAATGTCCACACAAAACTGGAAAAGTCAGAGTCAGGGGATCAGTGCATGGCTAAAGAACACCAAAAAGTTAAAATAGCAACATGCAGAAGGGATGAATCTGCACTCTAAACCATCAAGGTCAAATCTCACTTGCAGAGGAGGACAAGCCAACGACCCCGACAGAGTTCAGCACAGTCTATACAACAACACAGGACACGCAGCCATGACAACGCCAAGCATCTCTGATAATGTAACCAAAACTTTGGAAATATTTTTAAGGCCTTTTCAGAATTATATTCACAGGTTAACGTAGTTTTTCATCAACCACGCACACAACTTCACCTGAAAACAGTCCCAACTTAAAGTGGATATCCTGCCCTTTACTAGCATGATTATGCCGTCATCTGCAGCCACACAGGATCTGAATAAAGTGTAACTGGCACACAGAGTAGAGCAGCTCGACTGGTAATGGGCTGTTCTGTCAGGTGTCCTATTATTCAAATGCACTGCGGGTTGACAGCAGAGCAGAGGCTATTCTGTGCTTTGATTTTGAGGGAACATCATGAATACACATAAGCCTGTATATTTATTCAGTCAAACACAACCTATACTGCTCTGCGAAACAAGGAATGCACAGCAGCACAGTGGTCAGAGCACGCTTTGTGAAGAAGGTACCGCAGGGCTGTTGTGTTGGTTTGCATTATATTGACCAGGTATTTGTGTTTTGTGTCCAGCTAGGTTTAGAGTTGAAAAAGGCAAGCTCGGATTGAGTGATCCGACAGCGAAAAACCCGGAGACTCTTCACATGAATTATTCTCAGCCTTAATAGAGAGCTACATTGGCATTCTGAACTGGGCTCGGAGCTTCACACTCCATCAGGTTCTGAAGTGGGAATGTGCGTGTGTGTGTGTGTGTGTGTGTGTGTGTGTGCATAAAGGTGATATTACCAGCACCACAGGCTGTGCTGCTCCCACTGCTATATTTATATTACTCTCCCACTATCTCTGTGACCCCACATTGAATGATTGCCTAGTGTGTGTGTGTGTGTGTGTGTGTGTGTGTGTGTGTGTGTGTGTGTGTGGGTGTGTAGGCGGTGGTGTCTATTGAGGTAAAATGATGAAATCTTTTGTGCAGAGTTCGATGTCGACCCAGATATGTAACACGATCACGATTCTCTGCCGAGAGTCTGCAAATGTCTAAAAAGTGTCAAGATCCAAAACCAGTTGTAATCCTCTCTATACAAGAACACAATCACACACACACATGCAATCACAGCCTCTCTATGCATTCAAGAACAGGTATTTCCATTCCCCAACACATTGCCCAAAACAAACCAGATCTTGTTGGAGTGTGTTTGCACTCCCCGTTCACAGACCCTCTCCCTCAATAACAGGTTGGCTGGAGCAAATTACGTGCTTCATTGCACAAACACACCCTCCCCTCCTTGCCTTAGCTGGTGAAAAAAAAAAAAAAATTCACAGTCCTTTTAGCTGTTTCTTCTTCTACATATAACAGATAGAGTGCTGTTCCCTGCGGCACCATCCAAACAATTACTCCCAAGTAACTTTCAATCATTTTAAAAGTCAGGGAATGTGTTAAACTGGTAAAAGGCAATTGAAGGTGGACAGAGTCGTTGTTTGAAGTGCTGCTGAAATGCTAAAAGTGTCCTTGACAGTCATGCTGAAGCTCCAGTGCCAGCTCCCTGAGCTTCTGACAGCTTGATGATGCTGGGAAATAGCCACTTATAGACTGTGTATCACATTGAGAAGGGCTTTGAGAATCAGATGGAGAATATTTTCAGACGGCAGGCAGCTGAAGATGCGACCCACGCACTGTTGAATGAATGAATAAATGAATGAGTGTAATGCATTGCATATTAATGGTGGATTTTTACTCATAATCAGCCTTGAATTAACACAGAGGTCCTTTAATTTGTGAACCAGCTCGAACTTGAACACTGACTGAATGCTGACTCCAACACACACACACACATGAACACACACAGTCTGCACTTTATAATGCAGACAGAGGGTTGTCTACCTTGATCAATTATGCATTACTTCGTAAGATAACACTCTTACAGATTAACAAGATCTAAAAAGGCAACAGCAGGACTGAGCAGTGAAGTCCAGAGGTCTGCACCCCAGATTCCACAAGTGTTAATCCACCCACATCTTCATCAGCACCGGGCAGCCTCTCCTCATCGCCATACTGACCTACTGAACCATCACTCTCTGGACCATCCCCTGCAGAGATGACATCCTGCAGCCCTCGGTTGACTCCTAACCTCACCAGGATCCCTCGTCATCTCTCCTTACTCCACTCGCCTCTGATGCCACCCAATCAACACTTAAAGCCTGCCTTCCTCTCTGTCACACCATGTCACCTGTCCTTTACTGTCAATATTTCCCTGTACTTCGACGCAGCGCAGAAGATGTCATTCTCACAAGCCTGGCACAGCTGGACCAAGAGACAGAAATTTACGCAGCAGGACAGTTAGGACTTTCAGTCTCCTGCAGTAATTGGCAACATGCTGGCTGAAGTCAACCCACAGCATAAGTTGGATTCAAAATCTATCTGGTGCTATTTGAGACAGAGAGGGACTACCCAATTCAGTTGTTAGTAAAATAAATTGTAGTTTTGAGAGGAAAAACATTCACAGTATACACTTACTTACTTGTGCTTTATTTGTTTATACTTTAGCCCTATATTTGCACTACTTCATGTCTTGGATTCAGGTTTTTCCTTCACTTGCTTGATTTTATTTTTTTATACATTTTTAATAAGCACTGTTGGAGGGTGCCTGAGGCCTAAGATTTTCATTGCCAATGACTGCTTCTCTGTAACTGTTGCACACATGGAAAGAATACAGAACGTCAATAGGAGAGTCATAATAATCCAACTAAATTGTGTGTCTGTGTGTCTGTCCTCCAATTTTCTGGTAAATCGTTCATCTGATTGACTTCACACTTGGCGGGTGTATTGCTGAGGACCCGAGGAAGTTCAGTGTCAAGTGAGAGGTCTTGAGATCTACGGGACGTATTTATTTGTCGTGTGTTATACCACCAGAAGTACACACTGTGTAGTGTACTGAGAAGGGACCACTATTAAATGGTCGATAGCTGAACAGCATGGTGAGTACAGCTCGCTCTCCATAACTCAGTGCAGTACATTCAAGAACAGATAACAAAAGAGAGACAGAAGATGTTACACTGTTGTGAACTTACACATTTCAATTATCAGCAATGCAACTTTCGGAATGAACGCTTTTGTTCTCGGAAATAGCTTGGTCCCAAATAGCTAGCTGTTAGAAAAAGTTGCATATACTAGCATTGCTTAGGGATGCAACTATGCAGCATATCACTAGACAATGATTTGTATGATATCTATGAAATCAATACCATTGGACAAAATCGGCTTGTGTCGATTCTCCAAACACGCTTAACTAGTATTCATAAATGGACCAACTTTCAACCCACTTTCTACAATTGTATGTAGTCATAGCATTTCCGCAGGAAACGCATCTCTATAATAGAGATGCTAAAGGATACATAATAATTGGGAGGGAAACATTTATCATTCTAGATTTGATTCGAAGGCCAGAGGCACAGCCATACTTATTCATAAAGACATCCTCTTTGAAGCAGACAAAATTGTTTCTGATTCAACAGGCAGATATATCATTGCCTCTGGAAAACTCTTCAACAAACCTGTGACACCGGTAAATATTTATGCTCCCAACTGGGATGATAACCAAATATAGATACTCACTCTTTCTCTCTCTTATAATAGGGGAAGATTTCAGCTGCGCATAAAAACCTGAACTGAAACGCTTATCAACTGGAGCTTCTCATATATCAAAAATGGCCTCCAGTATAAGGAGCTTTTGCATCAGTAATTTACCTCTTTCAAATGAGAGGGTTTTCCAAAACACAATTTAACACCTTTTCATATAGGCTCTCATTCAATCCTTTCTACACTATATTATCATTAAATGCATTAAATGCAGAAATTAAGGGTGCTTTCATACCTGCCCTGTTTGGTTTGGTTCAATCGAATTCAAGTTCGCCCCATAAGTGTGGTTCGTTTGGGCAGGTGTGAACAAAGCAATCACATTCGGGTGCGCACCAAAACAACCTGACCAAGACCTTCTCTTCTTGGTCCGATTACAAATTAGCTCTTCGTTTGTGGTGAGAACGTGTTCCGACCTCGATCTGAACCAACTGCAGTCACATGACACATTGTTTGAGTTAAACGTGAGCATGTTACAGTCCTGGAGGATTATTAATGTGCACCTCCTCCTGTACTGCCTTAATATGCACATTCAGCACATCCAATGCATCAAAACATTGTTTTCTAGTTGGAGCCGCGCCTCGTTTTCAAACTGTATGGTTTGATTTAAAATGAACAATGACAGCAATATAGTCCACGATGAGCAGCGCTAAAATCAACCTGCGTAGTTGTCCCTCCATTGTGACATTAGAAAGTGTCACATTTATCTTGCAAGTG